TAAAAATGTAAATACACTTTGAATTAGTGAGATAAAGGGATGACAAGCCAAGAGTAATCAAAACCACTTCCAAATAACACTTGCAATTCTCAATTATAGCCACAATTTCAGTGGAATGATGGTATAGCATCTAACTACAGGATGCTTTTTATATTATCAGTCTACGCTATGCTTTTAAGTTGAAAAGCATCTTACTTATCCACATTTACCAATAAATACACAACTTAAACTTATTCAGAAGGTGAAAAATGGCCAAGATTGAAACATAAAAAAATACATGGCAAGGTTTCTGGTTTTAACTGCACTTAAGAGCTTATATATACATAAGATGGAATTCATGCTTACACAAATAGCTATTTAAAATTTAATAAATAATTCTAAAATAAAATGTAAGTAAAAGAAATACACAGATCCAAAAGGATGATTTTCAATGGACATTATTTCAAGTCTTCAACATCTTCAATTGTTTCATCAAAGAGATCACAAGTTTTCATGATATGATTTCTCAGGTTTAATTCTTATTCAATAAACAAAAGATGTACATAATAATAAATAGATGCAAACATAAATTCATAAAAAGTATGCAAATATATTTTTTAAAATTCAATGATGTGTAAATTAAGATGACACCACCTTTTAATGATCAGTTCAGCAAACATTAACACTCCTACCCCCAAGCTTACAATATGGAGAAAAAATTTATGCTGTAAGGAAAGTAATACCATTTTTTGGTGGGGGCAATTTTTCATTAACCATCAAAACCTTTAAAAATACATTGATGAGGAGGCACCTGGGTGGCTCAGTCAGTTAATCGTCTGACACTTGACTTCAGCTCAGGTGATAATCTGAGGTTGTGGGCTCCACGCTGGGAAAGGAGCCTGCTTAAGATTCTCTCTCCCACTTTGGCCCCTCCCCCATACATGTGCTCTCTTTCTCTCTCAAAAAAAAACCAACTAAAATTATTAAACTAAATGAAAAATAAAAATATGTTGACACTTTGACTTAACAATTCCACCTACAGAAACTTTTCTAAAGAAGCGTGTCAACTTACAGAGATATTCATGAAAAACCTGTTTACAATTGCAAAGACTAGAAACAACTTCAAATAACAAATGATTATATAAACATAAAAAAGATAATTATATCTGACAAGAACTAATAATGATGAAACGTCAAATGCCCTCCTACCCTAACCCCAGGTCAAGAACAAAGCAAGGCTCTATACTCTCACCAATTCTATTCAACACTGTATTAGAAAAAGAAATAATAGGGGAATCTGTGAGGCCAAACTATTTCTATAATAATACTAAGGTTATTTGCATTTTTCACTGTTGGCATTTACAATAATGGTAACAAAAGCAGCGATGGGTATAACTGCTGGCAGTGGAACTGAACTGTATTTCTTCACTACCATATATCTGAGAAAAGAAAAAGTATCACCTTCACTTATTTATGGTTGTTATTCCAACACCAAATGGTCAATACAATTCTAATACTAACCAGGAGTTAGCATCAGACCCCAAAGGTTTAAATGGCATAGCCCCCAACAAGATTGCCAGTCATTTCAGATGCCACCCATACTTCTGCCCAACTGGCTATAAATCAAGGAGGTTCCCGATTTAGTTATCCTCTCGGCTTTGATAATTTGCTAGAATGACTCATAGAACTCAGAGGAGCTCTATACTTACAATCACAGTTTTTTTTCCCCCAAGTTTTATTTATTTTTGAGAAAGAGAGAGAGAGAGAGAGAGAGAGAGAGAGAGAGAGAGAGAGAGAATATCCCAGGCAGGCTCTGTGCTGTCAGCGTAGAGCCCAATGCAGGGCTCAAACCCACCAACAGTGAGATCATGACCTAGGCTGAAATCCAGAGTCAGAGGCTTAACGGATTAAGCCACCCAGGTGCCCCACAATCACAGTTTTAATATAAAGGATACAAATCAGGACCAATCAAATGAGATAAAGAAGGGTAAAGTTTGCAAGGTCCCAAATGCAGAGCTTCTGTGCCTACTCTCTCTGGAGCAGGTGTGTTACCTACCTGGCACATTGATAAGCTCAACAACCAGGAAGCTGCATTGAGTTTCAGTGTCTAGCTTTTACTGGTGTTTCATTGCATAGGTATGACTGACAGACTTATTCACTGCATGTGACTGAACTCAATGTCTAGCCTTCCTCTCCTCCCTAGAGGCTGGGTCTTTAATGGGTCTTTCTGATGACCCTCTCTCAGCCTTCCTCTGATCAAAGTCTTAGCCCAAACAAATTCAGATGTGATCCAAAGGGCTCGTAAATAGAAAAGACAATTCCAATACTTGGGAAATTCCAAGGACTTAGTCTCTGTCCTAAGACCTAAGGACAAAGGCCAGTGTTATTATTTATTAAACAGATGTCCACAATGAAATAATAAAAATTGGCATCAATTTTACTAGATTTCAGCCTTTGACTACATCTTAATATTCTGTGTGATGAACAGGGAAGCATGCCTAAAACACTTCTGTTTCATACCAAAATACAATGGTTGTCTGAAGGCAAAGAGGAAAAGCACTTATAAAATAGTTACATTGCAAGCTAAACCAGGCTTTTTTCACGAAATACCATTTTTACTTAAAAGAATAACTAACAAACTGATTACTGACATTTTCTTGAAAACAAATCAAGAAAAATTCACTTCAAGAAAAATGACAGTATTTGTTGCTAAGAGAAAATTTGAGCTTTCAAGTGAAAATCAACATCTTTGAAAACTTGTATCCACCACTGTCACCTTGACAGCTTTCTAAAGTGTCAACATTTAAAATAACACATCAGCATCTAGAAGTTCAATGAATGGATATTTTCAAAATATATATATTTTTTATTTGACCAAAGCACAATGTAACCGAATCATACAAAGGTAAAAGATCCATCCACAGATCAATGAATCTTAATGTAATAAGTATGAAAACTTCGTTATATGATTTCAGATTCCACATTGTTAAGAACCTGTAAGAAACTGCCACTTATCAAGTTTTGGGACTGTTATCAAAAAACCCATAACTATCCATAATTCTCTAAAAAGATCACTAAAACAGTACTCCCTCCTACAACCAAATACCTATGTGAGGCCAGATTTTTTTATACTTCAAACAAAACAAGATATTGCAACAGATTCAATGTAGAAATAGATAGATGTGAGGAGATACCATACACTTCACTATCTTCTATTAAGCCAGACTTTAAAGAGATTTGCAGAAATGTGAAAAAATGGCACTGTTCACTAAATTTTGAAAATAGTTTTCATTAAAAATTATATTTTGTCATATAATATGTAATTATTGTTAAATACTTAAGAAAATGTCTTACACTTTAATTTCTAATAACATAATTGATATAAATTAAAAAATCTTGGGGGCCCCCGATTATTTTTGAGAGTGAAACTGAGCCCAAAATGTTTGAGAACTGTCCTGTAGAAATAATAAACGATGTAGACAAAGAAATTTAGTGGACAGTTTCAACAGTAAAATATGGGATACTATACAAATGCTAATAAAAAGGTAGAGGAATGTGTTATCTCAGACAAAAATCTTATACACATGGAAAATTCTATTTTTAAAATGATGTGAAAATTTAGATTAAGTAAACCAACAGAAACACAAAATTATATATAATGTGCTCTAAATTATATTTTTTAAAACCATGGAGGCAAAAGACTGAAAACAAAATTTTAGGAGTAGTCCTTGCTAGTTGGTAGGATAAGGTGAAAGATACTTTATTTCTAGCCATAATTTCTTACAAATATTCTGTAATAATCATGTAGTATTCTCATAACCAGAGAAAAAGATTAATTAAAAAAAAAAAAATTCTGGCATTCCATTAGAAGCAGTAATGAGGCTCTTAAATCTAGTTCCTTTTCAGTCCTTTCCTAAACTTCTAAGTTGGTCAATAGCTTAAAGCACTAAAATGACCAAAAACCAATACCAAAACAAAAATTTTAACTCTCAAACAAACACCACACTAAATCATGACAAAGCTGCCAAAAAGATCTGCTAAGTTTTAAATAATTTTCATTATATTTTAACTTTATCAGAAAAAGACTGTCCATATAAGCTTTAAAAATGTAGGCCTCTATACGTGCCTCAGTGGCTCTGTGGGTTGAGTGTCCAACTCCTGATTTCAACTCAGGTCATGATCTCAGGGTCATGGGTATGAGCCCTGCACTGGGCTTTGTGCTGATTGTGGAGCCTGCTTAAGATTCTCTCCGCCCGCCCCCCACCCCACCCTTCTCCCACATGCTCACCTGCTCCCTCTCAAAAATAAATAAATAAATAAATAAATAAATAAATAAATAAATAAATAAATAAATAAATAGACAAAAAAATTAAAAAACTATATAGGGTTTTTAAAATAACTTTTAAAATAAAGGAACTAATAATATGCTGATTTTAAAACAAAAATGAAGAGACAAGCAGTCCAAAAGTAAACATTTGAAATGCAAAAATTGAAATTTCAAGTTATGTTATTACAAGTTAAATAAAATTAAATTATTACATATTACTTTATTTCTTCAATTCACTATCCACCTTTTTATTCTATGATTTAAAACTAGGGGCACGTGGATGGCTCAGTCAGTTCAGCGGCTGACTTCGGCTCAGGTCATGATTTCGTGGTTCATGGGTTCAGGCCCCACATCAGGCTCTGTGCTGACAGCTCAGAGCGTGGAGCCAGCTTTGGATTCTGTGTCTCCCTCTCTCTCTGCCCCTCCCCCGCTCATGCTCAGTCTGTCTCTCTCAAAAATGAATGTTAAAAAAAAATTAAAAAAAAAAAAAAAGAAACTAGGTAGGTGGTTGTAGTAATTATGGAGGTTTTCAATTAAAACACTTCAGATGTAAATCGCAGTGGGTAAAACAGATTTAATTTCTGAAAAATCAGGGACCAAGTAGATTGCAAGTAAAATATTCTATCTTAATATGAAAGTCAAGAAAAAAAAGTATTTCATGTATAGAAGATCAATAAAATCACTTACTGCTTACCAGGACTATGATGAGTTGTAAATCCTCCATTCTGAAATTCACCTCCTGCCACATTCATTCTACCAGGATTAAAAGGTCCTACTGCAGTCTTGGTCTGTGAAGTCAAAGATGGGGCGTATGTTTGTATATTAACACCAAAATTACTTGACTGAAGTCCTTTAGCGACATCTCCCAAGTTGGTATTCTACAGTGATGTTATACGTGTAATCATTAAGTTCATATCTCGCCCAGCATTCAGAGCTTATACCTGTTTCTAAGGTTGTAACATTAGCAATAGGAATTTCAGAGTCGATTCTGTAGTGATAACATTATTACCCATTCCTGCATTTACCTTACTTCTTGAAAGACTGGAAGTGGAGAAATCCAAATCTTTGGTTCTATTTTTAGTTCCAGGAAGTCCCCATTCAATATAACTGGAAGAATTTTTCTTGTCTTCTCCATTTGTTTCTATGTCCTCTTCATCATCAATAATAATTGTCTCACTTATATTTCCCTTCTGAGAAGCTGAATCTCTTGAGGAAGGAAGAATTATGGAATAATTTCCTTGTAGACTTTCATTTCTTGATGAAGCAAATATAAAATTTCTTTGATCAGTTACTGTTGGAGCAGAAGTTGAAGGAGGTTGTATAGATTCAATAAATACAACATCATCATCATCATCATCATTATCATCATCATCATCATCATCTTCTTCCACTGATGAGTTTCTAGATCTATTAACTAAAGAACTAGTTGGGCCACCAAATAAATTTCCAACATCCATGAGGCTAGCTGCCATGGCTTTACTCTTTAATAAAACAGGAGTCTGTTCAGCCAAGTCTAATCCTCTCACTGAACATTTATCCATGCCAAAGAACCTGTAACAGAGGAAAATAAATAACAAAAGTTCTAGTATATTATGATCATTGTGTTTTATTGCAATGAAATAGCACAAATGAAATTTTAAATTCTGGTGAGTTTTATCCAACCCTCAGGGAAAATATTGTTACTCATTTTGTTTTTCCTCTCTCATTAACCATTTAATGCCTACCTCAGAGTTTGATGGAAATTAATCATCCAATTTGTAGTAGTCCTTAAAAAATGCACTCATAGTACTCAATTTAACTTACCCTTTACAATGAAAAAAAAAACTAAGTCTTCTTTTGAAATAGGAAATAGTAACAAAATCATTTATCAAACACCAATCACCCAGGATCCAAATACAATCACTATACTATACTTTTGTCTACTAAAATAAGTGACTATCATCTAATCCTTATTGCTCTAGCGTCTTTGTCACTGTTTTTCAAATTCTCCGCTTCTAACATAACTTTGATTAAATCTTCCTTATCCTCGTCCAGAAATTGCCAGACATTATGCTACGGGTTTTTCATGTAAAATTCTGAAAACAGCTCCATAATATAGGTATAACTTAATCTACTTTACAAATCAGGAAAGGAAAACCAACTAAATTGTTCTAGGTAAGACTGAGTAGAACTTAAACCCCAGGCCCTAACTCTAGGCCTAAAATTCTTAGCATTCATTTATATTCAACAAATACTTCCGTGAACCTGCTCTGCACTAGAGTATGACGAAGGAAAGGATCCAGCAGACAGACATAATTGAAGAATCTGGAAAAGTAAATAACCGATGAAGCAAGGACCTTAAAAGTAGACAGGAGATATGTGCACAGGTGGTAATGAAACTGATTATGAGTAAAAAAATCACCTCTATCTGAAAGACAAGGAAAAGCTAAGTATAACTGGAATATTTGTAAGTACATAGAAATGATAAATGAAAAGCTGAGGTAAGTTTATATACGACAGCCTCAATGTTCTTAGAATTTCAAGAATAAAGAACGTGGGAACTGTATGGGTATTAAATTATTAAGAAAACTCATTTCATATGGCAGTCTTCATTCCATTTTAAACAACTCATACTGAAATATGCTACATAACATTTCTATTCAAAAATTTTCCAACTAATTTTAATTGATAATAAAGTCATGCAATAAGTAAAGTTTATTCTTAGTATGTGTTATATCTTTAAATATTAACTCAATTAATGCTTATAAAAGTGAAGTGAAACTATTCTTTTTCCCATTTTACCCATTAGGAAATGAAGACTCAGAAGATACGTAATCAGCATAGCCTGTTCAAATGTCCAAAGGATAGAGTTAGGATTGAAATCTAAGAAATCTGACTCTAGAATCGATTTCATAGCCAGTATATTATATGCAATTAATGTATAAAACAATTTTTAGAAATTACTTATCTTTTATTAAGATGAATTTATTAAAACAAAATCAACATTCAGAAAGTCTATTTTAAAGAAAAGATAACAAATCTAAGAGACCACTTTAAAAGGGTTATAAAAACCACAAAAGTTGGGATCATGATTAACATTCATCCAGTAAACTGGTTACATGGTTGATTTTCAAAGGAAAGAGGCAATAATTTAGCCTAAACTGAATTATGACATATAAGAGCTGTTATACATGAACTCTCTTAGTCCTTTCTATCTATATTTGAATAAACCTACAACAGAGAAGAACAACTTCTGGAAAAGGGCTATTGCTGACGCCACAGTATCCTCTGGTGACATGTCTTAATATTTTCAAGGAAAATAAAAGAAAGACCATTCTTCATGCTTTGCTCACTGCAGTCCTCCATCTCTGAAAAAAGATTTAAATATTCATCTACTCTCAAATCATAGATTATAAAAAAGTTAAACTACTGCTAAAACTCACTGTGCATATAATTTGACCAAATACTTTAATTTCAGAAACAGAAGACTACAGAAAAGTTTTGACTACTTCTATAATATCCACAAACAGAGAAAGTTACACTTTAGCGATTAGTTGTGTGGCACTGAGCAAATTACTTCACCTCATTAATTAAGTTTTCTAAACTATAAACTGTAAATGGGGATAATATACAATTCCAAGGTTTTTATTCAGATAACTGGACATGTAAGTCCCTGGCGTCTGATTGGATCATATTAAAGAAAGTAAAAAAAGTTAAATCCCTCTCCTATGAGAAGGTATTCAGGCAAATAATTTGCTTACATCCTGGGATTTCAACAAGTGTCTAATCTTAAACATTTAGCTAGTCTCCTTTGGTATCTTAATATCTACAACTGATAACCAATGTTTAACATATTTTCATTTTGATACAATGAAAATTAATATAATCTCAAGTAATGGAAAAGGAAAGGAAAATCTGCACAGAGAAATTTGATAAAAGATTATAACACCACCATGCAAAACAGTTAGGCTGCAGACCAAATAAGAATGTTAAATGCAGACTATCTCTAGGTAATTGGTAACAACTTTGTAAAATTAACAGGGTATTTAATTAGGGGTACAGATAAGACTTATTAAAACAAAGAAAAGAGTGTTTTGCACTTTTGTATTTACCTTTAGTGACATCTCAGTTGTTTTTATTTCCTGAAGGAAATTAAAAATTTGTGGCAAAATATATATAACATAAAACTTGCCATTTTAACCATTTTTAAGCATACATGGTCAGTTTTTAAAATATGCTTTTTAAAAGTTGCAAAACTTTTTGTTATATTCTTATCAGTTGAGTGATTTAATAGCCAATTCAATTTTCAATGTTTACATACAATTACACAAAATTTACATTACAAAGAATCTGTCAGTGGTTTAAAGCTAAAATAGAAACGTTGAGATGTTAATATGACAAGATTAGCACATATAAGAAAGGTAAACTAACTTGCTCTATGAATCTACAAAAATTAAAATCAACAGTAAAGTATTTAAAAATAATTAATTATTAGGGTGCTTAGCTAGCTGTCACTAGAGCATGCGACTCTTGATCTCAAGGTTGTGAGTCTGAGCCCAATGGTGGGTACAGAAATTACTTAAAAATTGGGGCGCCTGGGTGGCTCAGTCGGTTAAGCGTCCGACTTCAGCTCAGGTCACGATCTCACACTCCGTGAGTTCGAGACCCGCATCAGGCTCTGTGCTGACAGCTCGGAGCCTGGAGCCTGCTTCCAATTCTGTGTTTCCCTCTCTCTCTGCCCCTCCCCCGTTCATGCTGTGTCTCTCTCTGTCTCAAAAATAAATAAACGTTAAAAAAAAAATAAAAAAAAAAAAAGAAATTACTTAAAAATAAAATCTTAGGGAAAAAAATCACACCATAAAAAAAATTATGGTTTCAAAGTTTCATTTTTTTGGCCATCTATATTCTGTAGGCTCTATAAAAGATAATTAGGACACAGGTTACAAAAACGGTTAAGAATTTTTTTTTTAATGTTTATTTTTGAGAGAGAGAGAGAGAGACAGAGCATGAGAATAGGAGGGGCAAAGAGAGAGGGAGACAGAATCTGAAGCAGGATCCAGGCTCTGAGCTGTCATACAGAGCCTGACGTGGGGCTCGAACTTGTGAACCACAAGATCATGACCTGAGTCAAAGTTGGATGCTCAACCGACCAAGCCACCCAGGCGCCCCACAAAAACCGTTATTAATCATTAATTAGTCCTAGAACATGTCCTACTGCATCTTTGTGGGCTTATATTGTCACAGAACAGGTCTTACTATAAAAATATTTATATATTTACATAAAAAGAATCTCAACTCGAAAGCCAACTCATGTTTAGTGAGTATCTGCTATAAGCATTCCCATTTGAGATCAGAAACAAAATAAAGGTGTGCTATGATTCTGGAGGTATAAAAATGTAATCAGACAGGATAAAGAAGCTCAAATGAACAACTACAACAAATAGCAAGAGAATTAGTAAAGTGTCCAAGTACAAAATTACTATCTAGAAATCAATAGCCTGGTAGGGATTCAGTCGGTAGATTAATCACACACAACTAACTTCACTCCTTTCTAAAACCCCCATAAACAATGGTAAGGTTCCTACACACAAGGAAAGGAAGAACAAGAAAAAAAGCAACAAGATTTTGTAAGCTGAAGAGCAAATGGATGAGTAACTACCTCGGTGGATCTGAGACAGCCAAACTAAAATAGTGATGGAACAAGCTAAGAGAAACTTCCTGATTATGCCGTAGAATCTTCAAAAGGCTCAGAAACCAGGAGGTGCAGATATCTCTGGAACAGGGGATGGGGGAGCTAAAATGAGGTTGGGAGATCCTAGAACTATTGTCTCCCTCCATGTTGATGATGACAGGTTCTTCCCTACCCTGGCACAAGGTTCTAGACTTGTGCCTACCCTCCCCTCCCTCCCACCCCCCCATCAACCCTCAGTTTGTTCTCAGTTTTTAAGAGTCTCTTATGCTTTGGCTCTCTTCCACTCTAACCTCTTTTTTTTTTTCCTTCCCCTCCCCCATGGGTTTGTTAAGTTTCTCAGGATCCATGTAAGAGTGAAAACATATGGTATCTGTCTTTCTCTGTATGACTTATTTCACTTAGCATCACACTCTCCAGTTATATTCATGTTGCTACAAAGGGCCATATTTCATTCTTTCTCATCGCCACGTAGTACTCCATTGTGTATATAAACCACAATTTCTTTATCCATTCATCAGTTGAGGGACATTTAGGCTCTTTCCACAATTTGGCTATTGTTGAGAGTGCTGCTATAAACATTGGGGTACAAGTGCCAGGCACCCCACTTTTTAAGTAATTTCTATGACCAACATGGGGCTTGAACTCATGACCCTGAGATCAAGAGTCAAATATGCCTCACTGACTGAGCCTGCAGGCACCCCAAGATAGCAGCAATTTTAACTCCAATCTGGCTGGCACTAAACCCTAGTTCTTTATACTACATCATGCTGCAAATACCTAGGAATACTCTGAGAAAAATGGCTTTTCTAAGTGATAATAACTGAGTCAGTGACTTGTTACCCTGTCAAACTCACCCCTCACTGGTTCCCTTTTTCTATGAATACCCAGCAGAGCTCTAGAACAGTGCCTACATCCCATCACCTCACAAAACTCCAGGGAATGTGAAATATCACCACGCAGGGATTATAGAAAAATTACTGAATTAAAACAATATCCATTCCTAAAAGCTAGACAGCAGTCTACAATCTTACACAGTGTCCTCGATCTAACTAACTAAAAAGGTGTACTGTGAAGAATAATAGCATTAAGTGCAAAGACAAGACTGGTAAGGAGAACAAGGCCAAAGGGAAGGCAGGAGTACTACCATGTGAGTTATTCTAATCACAAGTTTCATTTCAATCGCCAACTGTAAGGTGTTGGAACAGCTTTAAAGAACAAAATAGGCAGGACCTAAAACTGTACTGAATCCCAGATAATAGATGTGGAATCAGTGATTCTTTTCTTATAGTCATCATCTTCAACTAGCTCTCTGCCATCAAGATAACAGAAAGATAAATCGACTAACTATTGCATTAAGTGCATTTAAATTAAAAAGCAGGGTAAAATTACTCACAAGTGGTATGTCTTCTTCCTTAATTTCTGCCAAAGCCCCACCAGACTGGCCTGAAGGTGATTCCTGATCCTAGAATGACAGGAGAGAGAGCTGCGAAACTAATTACAGCCCATCTGGACGTAGCACCAACTCCTAACCACCAGAGGGAGGAAGCAAAGGGTAAGAAGTCAAGGAGTTTCCGTGCTCTTCTTCCCTCCCCCAACCCAGAGCGGTGGAGAAGCGAGGTTTAAAAAAATACACAACTACTATAGGGATCTAAACGACTAGATGTAGCTAAATCTCGTTCCTCAAATTACAGAATGGGAGGTGGAGAACAAGCCTGCTCTAAGGGAAGGAGAGGGCGGGGTTGGTGGAAGGCAAAAGGTTCCCTCGACGCCAGCAAGAGAGTTGTATTCCCTCCTAAATTTGCCCACCCAGCGCTATCCCGGTCAATCCGGACACCAGTTCGGAGGCAAGGAGCGGCTCACGTCACCGCCGGGTGAAATCTTCATTTGCCCCAAGCAGTTGCTCTGACTCGGAGACTTTGCAGTCCCTGTCCGCCATTAGAACTCGCCGAAATTAGACAAGACGAGAAACTCCAGGGAACAGAAGAGGGACGGAGGGGACCCGGTGGGGGAAGAGGCAGCACCCTCGCCCCGAAAAACTTGGGGACCTCGGGCTACCGCGGAGACAGTGGGAGCGCAGCCCCGAGAGCGGGAGAACGAACTGAGGCGCCCCTCCCCCCACCTTTCTCCCCCCTCCCCCCCCCCCCCCCCCCGCAAGAAAGAAAGGGAAAAATACCCCGCGACCTCCCACCGCCCCGGCCCGGGCAACCCCCGCCCCCCGAGCGACCCCCGCCTCTGGCGTCCGCCTCACCCAGCCCTCCCGGCCTCGCCCTCACTCTCGCAGCCCTTCGGGCCGCACGCGAGGACGCCTGTGACAAGAGCAGAGCACGGAGCAGACCCCGAGGCCCCGACGCGGTAGCGGCAACTGCGGCCGCGCCACGGGATATTAATCCCGGGTCTGTGGGAGGCTCACGCATCTCCGCCTCCCTAGTCGCCTCCACCTCCTTCTCCCGAGGCTGCGCTGCTCCCAGCCACCCCCTACTACCGGCGAATCTGGACTGCCAAGACAGCGGGTATAAGCCTCACCCGGTTCTGGCTGCACCTCCGCGGAACGAACCCCCACTCCCCTGACCCACCCCCAGTCCCACCCCGCCATCCGCCACACGCACAACTCCGCTCGGTCCAGTCCCGGGTTTAGCGCTGGTGAGGAGGAGGAGGCGGAGGAGACGGAGGCGGCGGCGGTGCGGCCGAGCCCGGAGAGGCCCCGCCCTCCTCGCCCTCATTGGCTGGCCGGAAAGGCGGGCCGCGGCGCCTCGGGCACGTCCATTGGCTACATCTGCCTTCCTTCAGGACCCCCCTCGGGGGGGTGGTCCGAAAGGCTGTCCGTCAGGCGCAGGCCACACCCCCCCGGCGTCGCCGTTCCACTCCCCCCCTCCGCCCGCTCTCGGCCCTCGGCCGCGTCCCCTCCCCTCCTTACCCCCGCCTCCCACCCCGCCCCCACCCCCGGGTCCGTCAGGGTCAGGCAGCCCGAGTTTCGCCGCCCGCTGCACCGGCCACCGGCTCCGGCCCTGGGCGCCCCCGGTGCCCTCCAGGGCCCGGGACAGCCCGCGAATCTGAGGCCGTGGCCGCCTGCCCTGGCTCGGGCCTGGGCGCCCAGGCTGCTGCAGCCGCTCCCAACGACCCTGCCCGAGGAGAGACGCGGCCTCGATGTCCCCAACGCCCTCCCTGTCCAGTTCCTGAAGCCCCCCGAGAGGGGCGAGCCCGGGCACGGGCTGGAGCGATTGAAAGTGGGAGGTCGGGGCAGCGGGTGAAGTGGGTTCCCGAACGTGCCGCGGGGAGTGGGAGCGCTTCCACCCTCGCCTCACCCCCGTGGGGAATAGTCCCCCCACCTCCCGTCATGGCTGCAGGAGGAGACGACGTCCTCCATTTTGTCGGGACTGCTGTGGGAACTTGGGACCAGTTCAAAACCAGACCCCGTGGGGCTGGGAAACTTGTTCCCGCGAAGCCCCAACTGGGCTCCGCCATTCGGCCGGGGGGACGGCCCCTGATGCCGGCGTCTGCGTCTGAGGGGCCCTGGGGGACGGGCGCCACGGTGGAGGGACCCAGACGCCGCTCCCCGCCTCCATCAACCAAGATGGAGGAAGCTGCGGGCTCCCCTGGAGCTGGGCTCCCGCCTGTTGGAAGGGCCGGAGCCTCCCCTCGGTGCGTCCCTCGCCGCTGCCGTCGTCCTCCTCCGCGGCCTCTTTCGGTTGCCCTCCCCCAGCCTCTACCCGGCCTCCCCACTGCCTTCCACCATCGCCTGGTCCTCAACGGTCGATGGGGTCTCTACTCCACCGCCTGCTCCATCGCTTCGCCCAACCGGGGCCGGCCTGGCTGCGGGGAGCCGAGCGAAGGTGCGCGGCGTTGCGGCGCGCCCCGGGGCGGGTGTGCCCGGAGAAGCCACATCGACGATGGGGCTTCTCTTTTGTTCATCGTCTACACCTACGTCTTCGGCGCACGTCAGGGTGCCGTGCGACATCCAAGATTCCATGTAAAGATGAAAGCGAGGCCTCTTTCGTCTCACCCTAGCGGTGGTTCGTGGGATTACAACTGACGGTGTTGACAAGTTGGTAAAAAACCATTACACATGACACAAACGGATTTTAAAAACCGATTGAACTCCCTCATTACTTTTTCTGGGATATGGTAAAGACACAGGCCTATTGAGTGACAGACACAAATCATCTAAGGCAAAAGCATGGTCATAGATGGACGAGAGTCTTTGTAGTGCTGGATTGCATGGACATCCCTAATGTCACCAAGATTTTTATGTTTTAACTCCTCAATTATTGTTTGGAAATAAATGAAGCAACAAAATGTATTACCAACATTTCAATAACTGTGCAAATTATAACCATCCCTATCCTGTTTAAGCACGTGGTAAAGGCAAGCCAGAGACGTACGTTGGATTAACAGGGTAGAGTTGTATAGACAATTTAAAGTAAGGTCTGTGTCAGAGACGTTAGATACTAGATCCAGTAGTCACACGTCACGTATTTCTGGAGGCATTATCTTGCTCACAATTCTCTGGCACTGATACTGTTCAAAGATGAAAAAATGATAACATTTGTTTCTCTATAATGACAAGAGTAAGAGGTCCCTAGATTCTTTCCTTGATATGCTGCCGTGATTTCAAGGAATGTTGAATTAGAACAACAAAAGTCGACATTGGTGATAATATTTACTTCAATACATTTGAAGTATTTTCTGAATAACTTTTCATTATTAAAGGTAGACACAATGATTCCTATACAGACCACAAGAGCAAACCGAAGAGGCTCTATGATAAATTACATCGAGCTTCCAAGGACAGAAGAGTTGCATTCAAATTCTTATTTGTCTGCTACTAATTACAAACCCATGACTATCCTCACTTCCACCTCACTTGCTATTTTGTAATTAAATAATGCAGGATGTTGTAAGGTCCAAATAAAAAAAAAATTGTGACACTGATAAAAAACTACAAGGCAATGCTGTTTATTATGGATCTTTTAATAATTAAAGACTGACTGCCCATGGAAAGGCAGAGAGACATTGTGATTAAGAGTACACTTTCTGGAGCCAGATCACCTGCCTTTGACTATCATCAGCTAGCTAGATACTTAAACTCTCTCATTCTTAGTAGCTGCTGTATTGGACAGCATAGATAAGAAATATTTCCACCATTACATAAAGTTCTATAGTAAATCACTGCAGTCATCTTAAATATTGGGAGAGTGGGGGAAAAGACAGAAAAACCAATCGGCCATCTTAAGCTTCCAGTCTGTTCCTTCTTTCCTAGTCTTCCTTATTTTATTGCCTAAAATATATTTTTGTTTTGTTGGTGGTGGTTTATCAGGATAAGCATTTATTCCCTCAGTCACTTTTCTCATCTATCCTTCACCCCACAAGTGTTTTGATCCAATATTCTATGAAATACTTGGATCATGATTTTTTGTTGTTGTTGTTGATCATGATTTTAGAATTATATACTAAGCCACTTTCCAGGAGTAAATTTTGGTTTCAAGTATATTTTCTCAAAGCTTCTTCGTTTTATGTACTGATTCCAAGCATTAAATCTTTTCTTCTTCTTTTTTCAAATGTGTATCTATTTTTGAGAGAGAGAGCTAGTGGGGACAGGGGATAGGGAGGGACAGAGAGAGAGAGGGAAACAGGATTCCAAAGTGGACTCTGTGTTGACAGCAGACAGCCTGATGAGGGACCTGAACTCATGAACAATGAGATCATGACCTGAGCCAAAGTCAAAAGCTTAACCGACTGAGTCACCCAGGCACCCCAAATCTTTTCTTTTGTATTACAATAATATACATTAATTTTACATTAAAGATATTTTTGTTTCATCAAAGTATTGTTATGAAGAATTTTTTTCTTTTTTCTAATGTTTATTTATTTTGAGAGAGAGCCAACCATCAGGTGGGAGTGGGGGAGGGGTAGAGAGAGAAGAGAGAGAAAATCCCAAGCAGGGATGCAGGGCTCAATCTCACCAACGATGAGATCATGACCTGAGTTGAAATCAAGAGTTAGTCTCTTAATCAACTGAGCCACCCAGGCACCCCAGAGAATTTTTTTCTTGATGTACCACTGAGCCACTTGGGAATTAATAATAATAAAAGCTAAAATTTATCAATTTCTTACAATGTTATAGGTGTAATTCTAACTGCAATATGTGTGATAATTCATTAAATCACAAGGAAATGCTCTAAACTATTTTTATTAATCCATATTTCAATATTACCCACATTTAAAAGATGATGAAACTGAGACTGAGAGAGTTTAAGTAACTTGCCCATGATCGTACAGCTAGCTGGTGACAAAGTTAAGATCAAACAGGCAATCTGGCTCTAGGGAATATATTCTCAGTCACAATGTTTGCCTTTCCATGAGCAGTATGTCAAAAGATCAATATTTAATAACATTGCTTTGTTGTTCTTATTAAGTAGTTATTAAACAGAGACAAAAGACCCAAGTGGTCACATATGATAACAGAATTAAGGTTACGCAAATTCTGTTTATTTTTTTACAATGACTGTGTTATTATCACTTATTTATAACCTGTTGTTTAAATGAAGTAATATGTAGTTTCCCAAAGGGTTGCAGACCTGAACTGCACATGAAGCAGGCTTTAAAGGTTTAGAATTATTATAAACTCACTCTTAAAACAAAGATGTATAAATAAGTTGATGTGTATTATAGGGTGATAGTGGTATTGGGAATTTTCTGAATTAACCTGTATGTAAAGTACAATGTTTGTTAAATGAAAAGCAATAAAAACATGTTAATTTGAATTTACATGTTTATTATTAATACTCAACAGTACCTGCAGTAATTATTTTGTACCGAGGCCAACAAAAGAGATCATTTTAAGAATATTTTACCACTGATATTAATTAAAATTGCCTGACCATAGTGATAATAAAATGCAGACTAATTCTTAGATTTTATCATTGTCTTTAAATTCCCTACAGGCACTGCAACTCCCAATTGAAAACTCCCACTGCTGGGCACCTGGGTGGCTCAGTCAGCTAAATGTCCAACTCTTGATTTCAGCTCAGGCCATGATCTAATGGTTCATGAGTTTGAGCCCTGAGTTGGGCTCCATGCTGACTGTGGAGACTGCTTGAGATTCTCTCTCACTCCCTCTCTTTCTGCCCTTCCCCTTCTTGCACATGCTCTCTGTCTCTCAAAATAAATAAACTTTAAAAATTTTCTAACAAGGGGCGCGTGGGTGGCTCAGTCGGTTGGGCGTCCGACTTCGGCTCGGGTCATGATCTCATGGTCCGTGAGTTCAAGCCCCGCGTCGGGCTCTGTGCTGACAGCTCAGAGCCTGGAGCCTGCTTCGGATTCTGTGTCTCCCTCTCTCTCTGACCCTCCCCTGT